CCCTGAGCCAGTGAGATTTGAACAGCCGAACTGCAGAACTGCAGTCAGCTGAAGTAACCTGCAGTGCTGCATTTAACCACTGCGCCACCTCGGCTTTTCTCTACAATTCCCCCCCACCATACTTTCCATAAATTTTCCATAAATTTTCCAAGATTAATTCTGATTAAGTGATCATTTCAAATTTTAGGCAACGTAAAAAGGTAATATTCATTTGGCTTTTTCAGGACTTTGAATTCCAATGTAAAAAGGTATATCCATGGGTCCATAAATGTTTCACCTCTCTGGCCCTCCTTAAACCAAGGACATTTTTTCTAAGGATTCTGCAGCAACTATAGAAGGAAACACATGAAAGCATAGGCCTATGCTATATACCCAGACCCATGCACCTGTTTGCCTTCAGTTTCAAAGTGCTCTACAGCCTTAACAAATATTATCTTTTGAAAATATACAATGGGAAACAGAATGATACAGAGACAGACTGACAGACAGACAGACAGACAGACAGACACACACACACAAAGTTGCTCCTACCTTGGATAATTGGTACAATACTGTGTATATATGTGGAAATCTTCACTCTGTACATAAACAAATTGAAAGATTTATTTAGAACCTGGAAACATCTATTTGACAGAAGGTCCACAGAAAAATAAGATAACATGACTAACTAGATTTAATTTGAAGCAGCCAGAAATCAATCAGTAATGAGCACAGAAGGCAGTACATTGACATAATAAAATGATATTGGCCAATCCCAGAGATTAAGTATGTTTTCAAAGCCAATCTATTCCATTCCAAAATGAGTGACTGAAGGCTTTCACCCATCTATTTATTCCAATAGTTAAAAAGGTATATGAAAGATGGTTTTCAGCTACAAATAAACATCTCACCAACCTATTAGATTATTTTTTAAAAACAGTGAAGTACCTCTGACCTACATAAGGATCATATAATTTAAAATACATTATGTTTTATAAAGAATGTTTTACATCCTTGAACTTGAAGAAAACCCTTGGGAAAAGAAAACTACATACAATTTTATTTAACTTTTAGGTAACAATTAAATTACATTAACTTAAAATTTTACGTAACAATTTAATGTAAAATATATATGATCAAAAGCATTATTCCTGTACAGATTCTCTTAAACCAATTCCTCAAAAATCCTCAGGTTAATTAACACTAGCGCATCTAGACGTCTTCTTTTAGTACAACCATCCGTAGCCAATGTGCATTAACAGAGAGATTACAATGTTCATGATGACAACTTAGACAGAAATTGCATTCATGGTTGCACCTGGAAAAGGTGCTACCAAGTGCTGTTGGCCTTACCCTTGTTTACGTAGATATGTGGCTGTAGATGTGTTTTAATGGACTAAATTACTTTAAATTGTGTAAACTGCTCAAAGCTGATTGGGGAACAGCAGCTAAGCAGAAGGATAAACATTCATGGAACATTGTTTTCAATATGCAACAATATCTGAGTGTGTATAGCATGTCTATCTTTTTTTGCATAGTGTTTCAGAGTTACCATATTTTTCGGAGTATAAGACGCACCGGAGTATAAGATGCAGCAAGGTTTTGAAGAGGAAAATTTTTAAAAAAGTTTTTGCACTCTGCAAACCTCCTGAAAACTACCCCGTTTCCCCCCCCCCAAAAAAAGGCATGAATAGCCTTTAGGGAGCTTGCAGAGCGCTCCGGGTGGGGGGGGGGGAAACAAGCAAAAAACAGCCTGTTTTTGCGAAAAACGGGCCCATTTTTCTTTTAAAAAAGGGCATAGATAGCCTTTAGAAGCTTATAGAGTGCTTGGGGGGGGGGCAAAATTGAACAAAAAGTGGGATGTTTTTTTCTCATTTCTGCCCTCCCCAGCCCTAGGAGCTCTCTAAAAGCTTCCCAGAAGCTACGCACAGCGATTTTGGTTAAGGGGGTGAGATTTTCAGCCTCTTTTTTGAGGGAAAAAGGTGTGCCTTATACTCTGAAAAATACGGTGATAAAAAACACTATTCAGCTCAAAAAGCTGTCTTAATCTGTGACCATCCCACCTAATAATTTAAAAAAAAAATCCATATAGCCACTGCTGATATTTTATCTTTGGATTTAAACTTCAAATTCATGTATCTGCCCTCATTGGCATGAGACATAATAAGCTTACATCACAGCCTACATATAATGCTTTGAACTAACAACTACTGTAGAAATCTACCGCCTGCAATGAAGTAGTAATCATGTTAACCATAATTTAAAGCAGAGACATTACACTCTGTTATTATAGCAGGTAGAATCACTCCAGTTATTGCATATATTAAGTTAGGGATTTCTTCAGTGTCATCCAAATGAAATGTTCATTACTGAAGTCACGCCCAATCTGTACATAAGTAAGCATTTATGAGCAAAAGGCAGAAAATATCAAGTTCACTATATAACCATGCTGAACATTCACAAACACTGGCTGTGAATGCTCTTTTTTTAAAAAAGCATTTATTTTAAAAATTGTTACACCCTTTTGTTAATTGTGAATTTTTAAAAAAAATTCTCATACTTTACCAAACTGGAAGGATGTTTTAAAAAATTAAGAAATGATCTCAACTAGTCTGATATACATCAATAAAAATGCATCAATAATAGCTGACATTCAATATTACACAAACACATTTCTACTCCTATAACATATTTCTTGCAAACCATATCAGCAAATTACATCTATTTTTTATTTATTTATTTGATTTGTCAATCATTTACAAGATAATAGGTATAAGAATAAGCATGAATATGAATGAAATGGGTACAAATAAATGGGGACAGTAGGACAGGGAGGATAGACACAATGGTGCACTTATGGACCTCTTAGAAATGGGGTGAGGTCATCTTTGAAACTGCACCAGAAGGAGATTTGAGGATCATACAAAAGGAGGGAAGATGAATCTGTTCCCCTGATTTTAAAATGCTGGGTTTTTTAAAGGATTTTAAGCTATCAGTTCTTTTGTAAAATGTTTAGTCTGCACTTGTTTTCAGTTGTTGCAGCCATTCCATTACTAATACTTGGCATTTCTGTATTAGCCACTGTTAAAAATTAAAAAATGGAAAGTGACTCTGTCTAGAAGTATCCATAAACAAGATGTTGTTTGCTGCCCAACATTTGATGATCTCTGGCACTGGCTGTGTGAGACTTTTGTTCACTATGCTGTCAGTATTCCTTTTCCATGTAATCATCAAATATCGAATATAACATAATAGCCAATAGCGCTGGGATTTGCACCACTGCCAAGGGTGGGTGTATCAGAATAAAGCATTTACTGCAAGCAGGCAGTGCTAATAGGAGGTAGCAGTAAAGTGTTGGAAAACAAATTAGTATGGCCATCTTCTGGCATCCATACCAGTGTTAAGATTCAGTTATCAAGTCAATTGGAATTCACAAAACTCACAAAATGAGAGAGAAAATCATCTTTGTGTGACTCAAACAAAGTAAAATATTTGTGGGCTGCCCCCTTTTAAATCAGATATTCACCGTGTAGCTGTACTGATGCAACCTAGAAATATATTTTGTTGCACAAACTTAACTTAATAAGCTGTACTTTGACTACCATAACCATTGCAATGTAGTGCTTTTACTGTATTTACAACCCTTACCTTCCAAATTATAAAAGCAAGGAGGCTATAAGTCAGGGCAAAAGAATACAGAGTTCAGATTGCTGAACAAAGTTGTCAACCTTTGAATTAAAATATATTTATGGTTTCATTAAAACCTGCACTTCTAGTTTTACTTTCATATATTCCTGATTACAGTACCTAAAAGGGCTTCTTTGATGTTCAGGGTGAACTGAGTAATATGGACAGTGGCCAACAGACAGCCATAAATCTGCAGCCCTCAACTCATGCAAGCCTTAGCAAAATGCAGTACTTAAAACAAGAGAGCTACTAACTACAAATCAACATACATTTCTTTTTAGATATAAATATGTCTGGCCAGTAGAAACTACTGTGTGAAGCTTAAAAACTCCCTTTGACAAGGGAAGAAAGAGGAGGGGATGACTAGCCAAATTGCCTACACTTGCCTATTTTCAACATTTCCCCTCTGGTGACCACCTGAAAGGACAAAGCTGTCCTCTTATTTCTAAACATAAACATATCAAAGACTGAGAACCAATTTTAAGCAAGAGTCAAAGATGTGCCATCACAAAATCTAGACTGCTGCTTCTGTAATGCACAGGGTCATTGACTTAAATGCCTCCGTCAGCCTTACCAGACTAGGAGAGAAAGAAGAAAGGAAAAACCAATTGGAGAGAGAGAGAGAGAGAGAGAGACGGAGGGAGGGAGAGAAACAGAGACAGAGAGAGTATTTGACACTTATAGCAGAAATCCACATTGAACTAAAAAATTCATCCTTGCAATTCTTCAACATCTAGTAATATTTATTTTTATATTTGCAAAATATTAGGAAGAGATCTAGTAGGTAAGGAAAAGAAAAGAAACAGCAAAGTTGGGGTGAATAGGAACTAGTACTGATTTTAAGCTGTTTGATATCCTCCCCGTTCCATTTTTAATCTTTTATATAATGTCTGTATGTAGTAACATTAATCCAAATAACTTTTTAAGAATAAAAAATGGAGTTGCCAAACATAATTAGTCAGTAACTTTGCAGGGTACGGCTGACAGATGATGTTACATATTATATCAGTCTACAAAAGGAAAAAGATAACTATTGAGAAAAATATTTAAGATGTTCAAATATCTAAAAGAAAGAAAGAAAGAAAGAAAGAAAGAAAGAAAGAAAGAAAGAAAGATATATATATATCTTTATACACACACACACACACACACACACACACACACATATATATATATATATATATATATATATATATATATACATATGTATTTGCTATAGTTTTAGCAAAAAGAGATGAATCAGTTATTTTTATCAAATATGCACATATTTTCAAATCAAATAATTCAAAAAAATAGATGTGTTTTACCTAAGCTCTCATCCATTCTAATAGATTTGTAAGAGCCAATTCATATAAGACTAAGGCCAAAGTAAAATTAAATAATGACTTAAGCTTGGAATATTTTCATATTGCTTCCCCAATTCAGGAAAATTTAGTGGAAAGGTAATATAAGCTAAGTCCATACAGTAATTTGTAAAAAAAAAAAAAGATTTGCATCCTATGACTTATTTGTTATAGGCATTTGGGAACTGATGGAATGATCTTCCATTTATATATTCTGAGAATGCAAAATACTGAAGATCTTCAGTATTTATCTAACATCAAAAGATAATATAATCACTTACCTTAGAAACAAAGCATTCTGCTATAGCTACAGGATCATTTTCACAGTTTTCCAAATCTTGCAGAAGTTCACTAGTTAAAAAAAGAACAATACTGCAATTATTATCATCATATGCCAATATATATACTGCCTACAGTTAAAATTGGCATTGCATTTAAGATTCTAGCATAATTCATTGTGTTTCCTACTATAATGCTAAAATATAATTAGAGGTTTCTTGTCAGTTTTTCTTTTTTATAATTCCATTAATGATGTGAATAAATGTCTGTTTGTCTTGCTTGCATTACTGTTTCCCTACTTCAGCTTCTATCTTTATAAGGATTTTAAAAAGCAACTACTGGCTCTGTTTTACAATGATTGTAAAAACATGTACATATACAATACATGTGCATCATTGCAATACTGCCTCCTCCCACAATGCCAATATACATTTTTCTGCATCTCTTTAGCACTTAAGGATTTTTCGCTGCTTAATACTAGGAAACAGAAAGCGAAATGATACACAGCTTCCTGCAGCATATGCAAATCTGTTTTGTAATAAATAGGCTGCATGTGTGACTTTTTGCCTACTAGCTCTGAATGGTTTTCAAGTGGATTCACATGTATTAAGCCTTGGTTTGTTTGAACACAATTTGTTAAATACATTACAATAGGCTACATGTCAGCATTCCGAGTAACGCATCCAAAGAAATCAGAATTCTTAGGCAGGCAGGCCCCTCAAAAACATGTTTATTGGATACATCATATATGCATGGTTAGTGAAAACCAACTCTGAAATGTCCCTTTGTCAATAGCATAATTAAAAGAGTTTTTGTATCACGCTAAGGGAAACCAAACCAAACACATTATAGGTTCACTCAATATATGAATCCACTTTTCATTCATCCACATAATGTTATTCTGTATAACATTATATAGGGATGTACAGAAGCCCTTCAAATCAGATAAAAGACATTTATACCAACTTACTAACTGGGTTCCTTTTTAAACAACATTTGGTATGTTGGATTTGGCTACACTGAACACATTTCAGCTCACAAGCACCATAACACTTTTTGCTGTCTATGGTGCAATACTGTATGTTCAAATTGTTCTTTCCTTTGAAAATACAGTATGTTTGTTTTAACTTAGGAAAGTGGAAAATTAAATTGAAATCATAAACTTGTAGTTTTGAGATTCTGAAGATAGTTAGGATGCTACAGCCTCCTGGATAGTTTCCGTATCATCACTTTATCTGTGAATAAATTACCAATTACAATTTGATCTGATGTATGTTGGAAGCTCAAAGATAATGTGGCTCAATATTCATTTAGCATGTACAGGCTTGTTTCTTCCAAGCTCAGTTACTCATGCTATGTATCAGTTAACCTTTGTCTTCAGCATCTGGTTTGCAGTTTTGCATTTGTGCAAAATATGTACTGATATGTATGTTTATATGAGGGTACCAAAGTAATCTGAGCTGGCAACTGGAAATAAAGAAACAATGTAAAAAAACTTTTTAATCTACTGTAATCCTCCAAATTATTTTCTAATTTATGAAGATATATGTGATTCTGAGAAGCTGATACTTGATTGTTATGGCACACTGATTACAAGATGTGTATGAATAACAGGTAGGAAATGGACAATATATTTGTCTTGTGTATTTCTACACAACTGTTTTCATGATATGGCAGGATTGATAGATTCACAAGAGTTCTCATTGCTATAGTTAATTTTACTTCTACCTTTAATTATGACATGCTCAGTTTAACTCCCATGCTTGGTGACCAGTTCTCTAAGGTCTTTACATTCACCCAATTATGACACAGTTGCACATTATGATGTAATTGTGATGTAACTAACTGTGAAGAAGCATTGCTAATATTAGTTCTTATGATACATCTAGATTCATGACCCAAGTCAGCCAAATTCACTGTGGCAGAATAAATGAAAAAAAAAAAAAACCTCTTCCATTTTCCAAGCAGAATATAGCTACACAAATAAAATGGAAAATAACTAATGTTCCAGTTTTGATTTTTAAAAAGCTATTCGTCCCAAAAGTGGAAATAGGAAATGAGGCAGTATCTAAAATGGGTCCCATAGATCCCACAGATTTCTATTGAAAAACATACCTGGCCAAAAGGTTTGAGCTAAGATTTATTATTATTATGACACGTGGTTCATGAAATAATTCAAGTGGTAAACAAATACTTAATTTTAAATTAAATATTTTGGAGCTAAGTTTAATAAGCCTTTACAAATGGAAGGTTGATGAAAAGCAGACACAATGCAGCTGTTACAGCTGCCTAATTTGCTTTAAGAGGTGAAGTTTAATTCTTTATATTAAATAAGTTGAGATATTGTTGAAAATGGTTTCCATAATGTGACATACAGATTAAAATATGATAAAGTTGTAGACAATTTTAATATTCTGGCAATAGATAAAAAGTGAATTTAGCAACCAATTAAAGTATGTTCTTTATTTTAAACTTAACAGCAAAAATGGGTGGGACTCCCTATCTCCCACCATTTCTGTCCATCTCTCTTGTTCTTGCAGAATGACCAGGCAACAGGTCAATTCCCTGAAGCTATATAATTTGATGAGACCTAGGGGGCATAAATTTCTGTGGCAATAATTAGGAATAATTTCTGCCTGCCCGCCCACTGCTGTCCTTTAGAAGTTCAGATGACTCTGGCTTTTAGCTAGCTAGAAGGATTTAACATCCAGTTTTTATATCTACAAAAGTAAGAATAAGGGCACATCTGAGTGAGTTCATATTATATGAATTATAGAGCTGATGAGGTAGGATCTGATCATCTAGCACAACTTTTGTTCCTTCCCAAAGTTTTCAAGAATTTCAACATGCGTGATTTTAATATGATAGGAGAAGGAATCATTTAAATATATGGAAAGGATCCATATAAATGAAATTCATAATTTCATAATTCATTGAAATTTTAATTCAATTTAAATTAAATGTTTGCTTTGTTACAGCCATTTATAGGTCCTGCTCCCATTTTCAATCTGGAATACTCTGAAAATGATTGTATACCAATATATACAACCAAAAGCCTAAAATTGTCTTTAATCACTCCAAGAAGTAGTTTACCTTTACTTTAGTTCAGGGGTGTCAAACTCATGTCATCATGGTGGCTTTATGTGATATTTTGGGACTTCTCCCCCCACCTTTGCTAAACTGGACATGGGCATGGCCAGTGCGTGACACATCCGGCCCATGGGCCAGGAGTTTGACAGCCCTGCTTTAGTTCCTTCAAAACCAAATCAGCTGAAATATCAAAGTCATTATCAAAGGTATGCAAATGCAAATTATGTTCCACAATCCAGTCCAGATGTGACAAGGACAAATATCCTTGATGCCCATTATACGTTTTCTTGTGGGTGATTTACTAAAATAGATATAAACTCTCCAGCTGCCATTTGTGCTTCTCTGGACAAGCAAATCCCCAAACTTCAAATTTGAGTTTAGAAGGATCTTTGCAGCTTCAATGTAAACAAAACATGTTTTAATAAGTGGAGATAACCTCTCTGAAACAGACCCATTTTGTAGCATAATTAAATGACAGGCATAAAAGAAACTAAAACTGCAAAATACCCAATTTTGCAGTACCAATACCCAGTCCTTCCCAGTAGTATGCACAAATTTTCTAGAAGCATTGCCTTTGATGATTTTGTGGCAAGACGACCATCAGAAAAGCAGAAGATATGTTCCTAAACATTCACTGGCATGTGGCTCTGTTTATTCCAATTTCTGGCCATGCACAGGTCAGTCTCAAAATTAAACTACCGTGTTTCCCCCAAAATACAACAGGGTTTTATTTTCTTTTTACCTAGAAAATATGGCTGGGGCTTTATTATGGGGGTTTATTGTTTTGGGGTTGCCGGGTGGCTGCTCTCTTGCGAGCGGGCTCCCAAAGAGCCGGGCACAGCCTCATGGGCGAATGGTTGTGTTGCACTGTTGCAGCAGTGCAACACCACAGCCACGAAGCAACCACGCTCATGAGCAGCCACCCGGCAAACCTCCTTTGCAGCTGGGTATAGCACCATTCACTGACCTAGGGGTATTGCCAAGCCATGTGAGCGCCTGTTCGCCGCTGCTCGGCTCCCGCGGCTTGGTGCCTTCCAAATGCCAGTGAATGGTGCTCTGCACGGTTGCAGAGGGGGGATGTGCGAGCGTCTGTTCCGCTCTCACTCACCCGCCTCCCAGCCTCACGATGCATGGTCCAGCTCTCATTACGGAGCCAGGGCGCCGGTGCCAGCACCATCGCAGCCTGGCTTTTTCTGCGGCTTCCAACCCAAGTCTTTCAGCAGTGGCTGCTCTGGGCGCATGGCAGGCTGGGATGGCGGCGGCGGTGGTGCCTGGCTCCATAATGAGAGCTGGGCCATGCATCGTGAGGCTAGGAGGTGGGTGAGCAAGAGCGGAACAGCCACTCACACAACCCCCCCTCTCCAGTCATGCAGAGTGCCATTCACTGGCATTTGGAAGACGCCAAGCCACGGGAGCCGAGCAGCGGCGAACAGGCACTCACGCAGCTTGGCAGTACTCCTAGGTCAGTGAATGGTTCCTGCAAAGGGGTTTGCTGGGTGGTTGCTCATGAGCGTGATGAGCTATTTGCCCATGAGGCTGTGCCCGGCTCTTTGGAAGCCCGTTCGCAAGAGAGCAGCTGCCCAGCAACCCCTCTCTTCAGCTGGGCATAGTGCTACTCACCAACCTAGCAGTATCCCAAAGGCGCCAAACAACATGATCACCTTTGCCTTCCCGCCAGGTTCCCGCGGCTTGGCACCTTCGGGGTACTGCTAGGTTGGTGAGCAGTGCTCTGCCTGGCCGGAGGTGGGGGGGTTGTTCAGGGGGCTTATATGCGGGCGGGGGGTTATATTTTTGCCCACCAGAAAAATGTGGCATGGCTGTATTATAAGCACATGTCGTATTTTTGGGAAAATACAGTAAGAACATTTTAAATCACTAACAATATGAAGGAATGTCACAGGAAGACATGATACAGCTCTGGAAATGTCTTTTATTACCCTTTTTTACCCTCACTCTGAAGATTATAATATTGTTAATCTGTTTCAAGTACTGCCCTCCACAATTTTCTTTATTCATTTTGTTCAACTTTCTTCCTTTAATCTTCTTGAAAAGGAAAAAAAAGCAGGAAAGGCTTTAATGTATCATTTCTACATATGCTTTCACTTTAATATTTACTTACCTATTGAAATGATAAATATCTTTTATGTTTCCAAACAAAGCCGATCGCTCCTCTGTACCCAAAGACAGCTTGGATTGGTCAGTGATACAATCAAGGTAATCCTATGAAATAAATGAAAAGGGTGCCTTAACGTTGCCTGCTCTTTTTCCCCCCAGAAAATGAAACTACCTTTAACTGTGTAAAATGAGACTCTGCCAGATCAATTTCACTCTATATTACTGTAATCCCTTCAGTGAGTCCATCCCGAACAGGCCTTCTATTATGGGAGATAACAATACTTTATCTGTTCACCAATACGAAAGAAATGCTCTCAAAGACTGAACATACTGTGCTGCTAAGACTATACCCTGTATGTTTTTCAAGTTGCAAATGTATTCGGATTTCACCCCTAGTGACAGCTTAATCATCTCCATTAAATACCCAATAAAATCAATGACATCTTCCTATAGTAATTCTCCCCCCCCACCCCAGTATTATTAACATACCTGGGTTTCATAAAACTTAAGCAGATTTTTGGGGAAAACGTAATTATTTCAGAGCTAGCAAAATAAATGTTTTTAATGTTTCAAAAATGCAACATAAATGTAATTATTGTCAACTTGTAAAGAACAGAATATTCAACTGTCTATTTAGCTCTCTAGTTACACATAATGTATAATATGGTATACTATAATATATTCTCGGGAATTTGTTTGCACAAACAGATGCAAAGTATATGAACATAGAGACTGCATTTGGGGAGAGATGAATAAGAACTATAAATGAATCAAGAAAAAGAACTCTATCTCACTTTACTGTTTTTATAACCATTTTCATTCCTCTTTGATTAAAAGTAAAATTTCCTTAAAATTAAGTTCACCTACTGGGGATTTCATGAACTCATTCATTTTCTTGGTAGAAGTATGGAAGTGATATACCATTGCCTTTTTCATCAAGTCTAATCTGCAGTTTTGGTATTACTATCTAATTTTTCATCAATTTTGACATGTTTAGTTTTGAAGACCAGATAACACCAGTCACAAACCATAGAGAGCAACGAAGTTCCTGCAGCAAAACTACCCTGCACTCTTAAACATCTTTAGAATATTCAATAAAGCAGGACTTTTGGAATGGTTTTCTCATATTCTGGGAAAGAAATTGGTAGTTTGCAAAATATTATAAGCCCAGAAGATCTGCACAGTTTTTCTTTTACCAAAAAAATGGATAGCTACTTTCCTAGCATATCAAAAAGTGGCTAGGAAGATCAAGAAATCCTTTTCTAATTCACCTAAAAATAATTGAGTTCTTAAGTAAACGTATCCATTTGCCAAGATTTCTGTATTCTTTCAATACATTTGGTTAAAGAACACTCAGTGAAAATCCTGCTTTTCTGATTGAGAGTATCTGCCAAGGTAACAATAGCACTTAGACTTATATACCACTCCATAGTACTTTACAGCACTCCCTAAGCCATTTACAGAGTCAGCATATTGCTCTCAACAATATGGGTCCTCATTTTACCCACCTCGGAAGGGTTGAAGACTGAGTCAATCTTGAGCCGGTCAGGACTGAATTCTTGGCAGTGGGCAATTTGCCTGCAATATTGCATTCCAATCACTGCGCCACCACGGCATTAGCATGAGTCTTGACAAGTAGATTTCCAAAACTTTTACATGTTCTTTTATGGTCTCTGCTTCCTGCTTTTTCAGTCTGAGTACCCAACTTCAATATTTCTACTTGCATTCTACTCTACCAACAGTTTCTAACAGCAAACTCCATGAATATGTCTATCCAGTTTTCCTGCCAACAGTATGAAAATGGTTTGCTGCTGTCTTTCCAAACCTAGATTTTAACAGCCATATGTTGCCACCTGTTAAAACATCAAGACTTTTCATACATGGAAGCAAGGTACAATAGTGCAACTTTTAGCTCAATAACCTGGACATAAGGATTTTTATTCAATTATTGCTAGATAACTGTCATAAATCAATTATTCCTGTAAAATAACTGTTTTGTCTGTTTTCCTCATTAAACTATAATTTTACTTCCATTTAAGAAAAAAGGTGACCTTAGGTAAATGTAATTATATATCTACATACTGGAGGGTTTTAACAATTAAGGGCCATGACATCTAAATGCTACAGTGTACACTCTCTGCATCTTTACTTTTCATTCCAATTACATTATCTTATGACCTCATTCTTAAGATCTGTCCTCTTAAAATATGTTATTGCATTAAGTCACTGTAACAATATCCCCAGGGTTTCCTGAAAATCCCCAGTGACCTTTTGTTTTTATTCACAAGTTGCCTTGTAGCAAAGATTTAAGAAACTTCATAAAGGAGAAACTATTGCTACATATACAAACATACCCAGAATCTGAGTCAGTGAGTGGAAAAATAAGCTAATACAATGGTAGATCTTTCCAAATTTGAAATACAATACAAATTTGGTTGTACCAGCATTAAATACGCTTGCTCTAAAAACCAAAATAGAGAGCTTCAACTATTGATAAGCATAATAAGACTTTTTAAATGGTACTTTATAAAGGAATTCATAATTCTCTTTCCTCAAATTAGTCCCAATTTGAAGGCAGTTTGTAATCATGCCTACAAGAAACTGAAATTAATCATTTGGACCAAATATCCAATTTTACTGACAAACGTTTTTTTAATTGAATATTGTCAGGTTCTGCTTTTTATTTTTGGGGCCTTTTATGTTTTTCATTCTATTCATTTAAGAGTTTAACAACTGCTTCCAGAGGAAAAAATAGAGAACTGTGTGAAAGCAAAGATCGTTTACTATAAAATAATGACATATCAGAAAACACGGATTGCTCTATTCTTTACGTAAAACAAAGAAACAGAAACTGTATTGTACTATATTGAAACTAGACTGCAGATAATGATCACTCAAGTATGACAATAAGAAATCCATCAAAATGTAAATTGGATTTTGGCATGGTTAACCTAATTTTTCTAATAGGGTTTGGAAACAAAGGTGCTGAACTATTTTACTTGAATTCTGTCTGTTTGCAAATCATGGTACAGAACTTGCCAATAAAATAAGGTCAACGTAACACTACTAGACCTTTCCTCAGATTACTATCAAAATTTACAATGCAAAATTAAATATTGTTCAGTTTCTGGGAAAGAGGCCTGTGTAAATGGGGACGCTGCTGCTTCTCCTTCTAAAACATTGTTAACATATTTATTTCACATCCAGTCATTTATTTTTGAATAGTGTATAGCAGGGATGGCGAACCTTTTTGGCATCGAGTGCCCAAACTGGGAAATGTGTGTGCATGCGTGGGCACACCAGTAGCTGGAAACCCAAAGACCAACTGGCTAATGCCATGCTGTCCACCTGGTCTTCAGGTTTTTCGCATGCACCAGCTGGTCTTCGCATGCACCAGAGTACCAGATGGCCAGGTGGCCAGCGCATGCATGCACACTGTCCAGCTGGTCTTTGGGTTTCTGGCACTCCAGCGTGTGTGAAGACCAGCTGGCCGGTGCGTATGCATGTGCCAGAAACCAGAAGAGCTGCCATAGGTTCACCATCATGGGTATATAGCTATAACTGTACCTCAATGCACTGAAATGCCAAATGTTGAAAGTTTTGGAAAGTTGCAGATGGGGTACTGTATATCTATGCACTAAGCACCAAAATGATCATATAAACTCTGAATGTCCTCTTTAGTTATTAAGTTATTTAGTTATGATCGCCAACATCTGATGACGGATATGGCACAAGAAGAAGTTATTAAAGGCAAGAACAAGTGCTACAAGCAATTGTATCACCAAATGCAGCTATTTTGTCTTACCATTTGAAAGTGCTTATTAAAAAGAAGTCCAATAGAAACTCTACTGGCATGGGAATTTAACTATCTTGCCAAAAACAGCATGTTTAAATTTTATGATACAAAGTAATGAGTATCATGGAGAATCAAAACTTTGTTCACGCAGCTCACCCTAAGACTTTCTAACTAACCTTAACTGGGATTGTAGCCACAGAGATGAAATCAGCTCTATAAAACCCACTTCTGAAGATCATTATGTTCAAAATAATTCATGGGAACCAACCAACCCAATAAATAAATAACTCAAGAGTTTTCAAATTACAGCTCTGTATTGTGCCTTGTCATTTAATCGCTCCTCAAACCCATCCTAGAATGCCATTAAAAATGGAACATGATCTCTCAGTCTGTCCTGCATGGAAAATGATCAAAGCTACACAACCACGAGTTTGTTTTATAGCCTTAATCATTTTTTTCCTGTTTAAAAATTATTTGACCCAAACAGCCCAATGGAAAATACTAACAATATGATAGCAAGCTGTGAACGTTTGAAATCCTGATTTTAAAAAAGTGTGGAAAATCCCCGATAAACACACCGGACTATTTATTGTTAAAGCAAACTCAGTATCTGCTGGGAAACAAAAGAAAAAGACCAACCTCCTAAACCAACCATGGAATTAAAACTAATTTAATAAAGTTTACAGTCTGCATATTATATCTGTTCCAACAATTTGACAAAATAATTGGAAATGCAACCAAAAATCCACTCATTTTTCATCCCTTTTGGATTTTCTGCATATAAATATCCTACTGATTCAAAACAAGAATGCCTGAGTTAATAATACCAAAGTTTCAAGTGATAAGATCATGTAATATGTCAGAATGGAAAAGAAAGGAACCCTTAAATTCAGTAATATACATTACACAATATCCAGAATAATATCCATTAACTAACAGCATTAAACACTTGTAATAATATTAACCACAGTGCTTCCATGACTACATACAATAAGAGATTCTCAAAAGCCCTCTAAAAGAAACTCAGTTTACCACCTTCCAGAAAGCAACCATAGTTGGGGCTAACATAACATCTAAGGGGAGATTATTCTATAATAGAAACTTCTGGTTTCATCTCTATCTCCTGGGCAACCAGCTTTTTATTAAGCGTGGTCATAACTTCTATCAAAACAATATATTTTTGAAGAGTAGCAAGAAGCAAATTGCTACCAAGAAGGAGAAAATTCTTCCCTTATCTTCTGCCATAAGCACAAGATTTACTGGGAGATTGAAGGATGGGAATTGGGGAATTAGTAAATGGAAAAAAAAG